AGTGGTCATCTTCGGGTGCAGAAATGGAGAGAATTTGAAACGTAGAGTGATGTTTCTCTGACTTGTGCCTATTGAAGTTTCACAAGGGTTTGATGGGGGTGGGAGGAGAGCAGAGGGATTCTGCATGACTTCGATGTGGTTTTCCCCAAGAAATCAGAATGACCAAATGAAGATTGCTATTTCCAGAATACTGAGTGTTTGTTTGGCAACAGAAACTTGGAATGAAAAAACTTGGAACCTGCTGCTACCCTGAGTGGGGTTTTTTCCCAGATAGGCAGCAGCCAGCACTTGCTAAAAGAAAGTGCATCAGGCCTACACACAGCACTCCACTTGAGAAGTGTGTGTTAAGGGTGATTCAGCTTCTGAAGTGTGTTGTTCTTTGCAACAAATCTGAGTGGCAAACTGAGGATAGAAAGGGGAATCATTCCTTGCCCAAGGTCAGTCAAGATTCCATGATGCAAGAGAGAATATTTGACGGTAATTCTTTCTTACCCTGTTTCTGAGTTGCTAGTGGGAACTCTTCCAAAACAAATCTAGTCCAATGGTCTAAATGCCTTATTTTGTAGTTTACTTTGTATTGCTGCCTTTGAATTAAAGTGAATGAATTTCCTACTTCTGTCACAAGAGACTTATTTAGAAGACCACCAAAGAGTTCTCCTGAAGTTTTCAGCAGCAGGACACTGCTACTCCCTGCTCTGTATGGTGCTGTTCACTTGAGTGAATGGTAGAGGTAAAAGGAAGTTGTTGGAAGATTCTTACCTATTTTCCTGCCTTAAGATAATGTTAAAGAAATTTGAGTGTAACTCAAAATGCTGATAGGAATCCTGGCTTGGACCTCTTTGGAGAAGAAGAGTAGACTTTGCTGTAGACATGACAGTCAAAGGAAGCTAAGAGATCAAATAGAGGAGCTCACCAAATACACTTACCTCTGGGAGAAAAAGCTGGGTTGGATAGGAAAGCCCTCCTCCTGTGTCTGGCACATCTATCCTTCCCAGCACTATCTTCAAAAGTCATAGACGGAAAGGTGGACACCTTGGTTTTCCTACAGATGTTTTAGTGAAGACTGCATAATCTCTATGTAGGTGTTTTCTGTTTTCGCACTCTCGGAATTAATTGCTTGTTTCTTCGAAGTGCTGTAGAGAGAGAAACACTGTTTGCTGAAGATGTAAGAATCATGACAACCGTGAAAACTCCTCAAGCAGTTGGGTCTTGCAGAGGAGTTAGAGGTGATGGATAGCATCTCGATGCAGAGAAAGAAACTGGTTTTAGAGAAGGTGGGAAGTAGAGGTAGAAGCATTTAATTATGTTCAATGCACAAGCATAATCTAGGCCTATACACTTCTCTCAACACTCAGTTAATCTGATGTCAATATAAGGCTTGTACAGCAACAGGAATTGATTTTTCTTTTTCTTGTCCACCAAAGCTCTTGTCATGATAATTATTTGTTCACTGTCTTTTCTCACATGCAGACATCACTTTGGGAAAATATATTTTCCTTGAGGATCAGCACAGTTGCTATTATTTCTAAAGCTTTTCCATCCATTCACTGTTTTTTAAAACCTGTTTTAGCATCTTCTGTCTTTTATTCAAACAATAACTCTCATTTAACTTTTAATCTCTTTCCTCACCTTCAGTTTCATCAGCTAAAATAATTTGCAGTAGAACTTTTTGTGCTGACACTTGAATGTCATCACCAAACTTTACATGGTTTATACTACAGTGAAATGGTATTGGTCAACGGGGCGGCACGCTCCTTGGAAGCATTTTTAGGCTCAAGGCTTCCTAGCCTGTTCTAAAAGTGAAATCTGTATCACCTAATCTTGCTGATAAAAATGATATAAATCTCATATTTGTGACAACTCAAAGCATATGTATATGTAAACTTTCTTAAATCATAGAACGCGGTTTTACATTTTGCGGTGTCTAGGTATGTCATGCAGACCAGAAAGGTGTCACATGGTCTCTATCTAGCGCATGGGTTCCTCCCGGGTAAAGTAATTCTAGTCTGTTTAAATTTCACTGGATTTTGAGACCATCACCAGAATTGAACTGTCTGCTACATCCTGCTTGAGTGACCTGCCCATCAGGCTTTTGCCGCTTCTAGGGTAAGGACACCACACATGGAGGTGCTCCTTTTTTCCCTCCAACCACTTCTAACAGTATCTTTTATGTGAATAAAAACTCTTTAAAAATTTTTTTTTCTTGTTTCTCTTTATTAAATCCTGTTTTCATATTGTCTCAACTTAAGGGCTCAAATGTAGTATCTGTACACTAAATACAAGTATACTGCTTCTGACTGTTCCTGCTTTACTGCAATGTAGAGAGTCAGAAGAGCGTGAGATTCCCTTAGGAATTTCAGCAGCTGTTTGACCATGTAACTTATGTTAGAGGGAAGGACAAGAAAATGCTCTCCGTAGAGGATGCAGGTGACTTGCTAGAAGATAGTGCCAACCCTGTATATCCTCTACAGTGAGCTAACTCACGTGTTTTTTTTATTTTTACTTTTGTCTTATAAAGTACTTAGTGCATTTTGATATGAAGCATAACTTACTAATGAGGCCATACCTGCTGTTTGGGAGAGTTTGTGAGAAGATGTCAATATGATGACCACATTCTGAAATAGTGATTTTTGCAAAGTGCTAAATGAACTCATATTGATCTTACAATACTGGAGGATCTAGCTTTTGTCTAGTGGTACACAGGAGGCCTCTTTCAGCTCCCAATGGCTTTGACAGTAGCGCGGGCAGGCCCCAGCTATACTACAGGCCTATTTCTGTAGGTTCTACGTGTACATGTTCAATTAATGCATTTTACAGAGCCAGTGTAGTAGTGCTTCTGTAGTGCTATTCAGACATCACAATTTCATTTCACTTTTCTCCTTTTACTGCGTTACCCCCCTGAGACCTGTGTTATTTTGACTTGTGAACATCCTGGGAGGCCGTACCTCTCATGGACGTGCAGCTTCTGTCTGGAGTATTGACCTTCCCAGAACAGATTCATTAATGGTCAGCATGACCTCCATGGTTAGTTTTACCCCCCTGCCACTCTTCCAGAGTCATCTATAGATTATTAGGCTATTTTCTTCTTGCTGGGTGCAATGTGGTTTTAATTTAAAATAAATGTTCACTGTGAGAATTACACTGCTGCTCAACTTTTTTTTTCTTTTCAGAGTGCCTTTCTGTACAGAAGTATGCTCTGGGTGTCACTTGTTATAGCCTGCATCCCGTTGGACTATTTCTTGCTGTGAAGCTTTTCCTTGTCATGGTGTGCCTGTTCAACACCTGGGTGTCATCTGCCATGAGGCACTGATCCCACTGCTGTGGGACTGTCGCACCAGAAGACCTTTGTTCAGTGCTTATAACTGCATGAGCCCTTGAGAAGGGAAGTCTTGCTTTCTTCCACAGCCACCCATCTAAATCTTCATCTTTGTTAGCAAAAAAATGTAGTGGAAAGAACTGGGACAGCTGATAGGGAGATTTCTGGCTGTAGCTACGAGTGTCTGGTGTTCTGTTATAGCACTGCGTCATCTTCAGAGGGCATTGCTTTTTGGCTGAGGTATAAAGCTCATGCAACTGGCTGGTACAGGAAGAACATTTCTGAAGAATCGTAATACAAGTAATTTTCCCTTCCCAGACCTTACAAGCCATATTTTTTTATGTAACCATGTGGATCTTTTATATCCCTATTGAAGCATCTTAGTTTAACTGTAGGAAGAGCTTCTACATATAGAGTTGTCATCCTTGCTGCCTTTCACACAACCTTTTCCAATTCTGTTCTAGGGGAGGGTATTACATGCAGGGTAGATTTATACAATAGCATAGCGATGGTCTTTGCTTTGGCCTCTATTCCTTTCCAAATAATCCTGAGCGCTCTGTATACTTCTGTGGGTAAAATTTATTTTCTGCTACTGAGTGATGAGCTGGTATCTCCATGGAGCTGTCTCCTCTAACATCGAGATCCTTCTCTTGGGCGGTAGTGATCTGTTTGGGGTCCATCAGCGCATATGCGAGGTTGGCATTGGCTTCCCCACATGTGCTCTGTTTCACTTCCCGTTTTGTTATCCAGTCATTCAGTCTCTAGTTCTCTACAGTTTCCCTCACTGGTACTACGTTGAGTAGCTTTGAGTCACCAGCAAAGTCTCATCTCACAGTTCATGTTGTTCCAGATGAAAGATGAATACTGAATGGCACATGTCCCAGCATGGAGACCTGCAGAACTGCACTGTGACCTCCTGCCTCCTATTGCAAGAATGGAAAGTTTCTTCTTCCCATTTCCTATTTTTAGCCAGATGTTTATCCATGTAAGGACTTTCTTAGGCTGTAACTGCTAATGATTCATGTCATGGCTGCTTACCTCACCTATAATTTCGAGTACATATTGTAAGACCACCTTAGAGAATGGACTTTCATGTTCTTTCATGTTTAACTGATACACTGTGGACTCATCAGTGAAAACACATCATAAACAATAACATGATAAGAAAATCTTCAACTCTCCTATCTGGAGTGCAATATATTATGGATATTGGTCCCCAAAGCAATCATTGCTTATAATAGATGAAATGTAATTTGGTGTAATTCAATGTAGAGGTTCTGCTGGCAGGCTGAATGAGTGACATGCCAACATCAGCTCACCAGGACCTCCAGATGGAGTTTCCTTCACATGCTTTAATACATGCATTTTATATCTATTTGAATATACCTTATTTTTTTCTGTATACTTTAACACATGTATTTTATAGATGTTTGAATATATCTTATTTCTACATGTGACTTTTTTCTTATATTTCAGAAGTGTTTTGTACCTATGAAAAATGGGCAGAAACATTGTTATCCATCACCAGTGCTATCCAAGTGCCAACTTCATTTCAGTGGAACACCTGGATTTCCTACAAATTCCTATTACCTGGAAGAGTAATTTAATAGATTTTTATGAATAAAGGCAAATGTTTAGAAAAATTTCTGTTTACCAAGTGGGCTTTTCTCTTCCTGGTGTAACTCAGGTGTAATGTCATTGCTGAGACCTCTTCTGCTGGATGTCGTCCCAACTATTCAACACACTGCTGCTTTGGCTCTTGGGAGACTTGCCAATTATAACGATGACCTGGCAGAGGCAGTCGTGAAGGGAGATATTCTTCCACAGCTTGTGTGTTCATTGTCTGAGCAGAATGTAAGGCATCATTGTTTTCTTAAGTAATCTTTTTTTTTAACTATTGCACAGGGAAAGGGAAATCTTTCTATATCAGCTGTCTGCTGTTATTTCAATAGAGCAATAAATGTACTGAAGCTAGAGACAGTACACATGTTTGAACGACTGAGAGATCAATGTGTACTGTTTGACTTTAAATAAGTTTAACTTTAAAATATCATCTTACTTTCTAGTGCACTGTAAAAAATATCTATTTGTGACACTGCTATGTTTTTGAAACGTTGAGTAAAGCTTTATAAAAGGTCCCTCTTTAAAAATGAGACAGTTTGAAAGCTGTAGTGATGATTGACTAGGATTTGTCGATAGTACCAAACACTTGTAAAAGACATATAAAAACCTGAACGTCTGTAATGAAGTATTAAATATCTCCAAACATAGCCTTTTGGAAATCTGTAGCATGAGAAACATCAAACCACTGACACAGGAAAATACACTGAAAGATTTTCATCTTCATATGTGTAAAAAAACAAAACAAAAAAAGCAACCAAACCAAAACCAACAAAAATGGTCATCACAAATGCAATGCAAATAAATCTGGTGGTCTCTTTTTCTCCCTTCTTGCCATTTTTCGTCAGGTTTTGCATATATTCCAGCTTTGATTTGCCAGTGATCCTAACCTAGATTAACAGAAATACTTTCAAATAAGGTTCCTAATAATTGGAAAAAGAAAGAGACAGCTGGGAGTTAAGTGCATTGATATCATGGCCATACTTACATTGCAGTTTTGATTTATTAGATGTAGGATAAGTAGGATTTCAATGGAAATATAATTTGGAAAACTATATATATTAATTTCCAGTCTTTTAGGAAAACATAAATGTAAGTACTTATTGCATATTTTTTGTGTGTATCTGGTCATTGCCTATACAATTAATCTGGAAAAAAAAAGGTCAAAGAAAAACCTTGATGTCAAGATACTGTTATAGTATGGTAAGAAAGTTAAGGTTTTAGTTAGACAAATTTATAACCATTTTGGTTATTTTATTCCTATTTTTAAGGGAAGAAGGGGAACAAAAATCTTCATCCTCTATTTCTGAGTTGGAAACCACCCCCTTGCTACAACTCAAAGCTCACACTAAAATAGCTTGAGTACCCTGATTTATCTCTTCCATGTTACTGCCCATGCTGTCCTTACATCAAGATGGCTGTAATTCAGCTGCTGGGGCAGGAGCAAGATCAGTGTGAGGTCATGGAAAGCCTACTCTGCCTTGGTGACTGAGGGCAAGTGAAGGAAACTCATTATCCAGTTCACGCAGAGTTTAGCAATGCATGCAGTTTGTTACTTCCCATAGGCAAAAAACCCCCAACCCAGATAAGTTTCCATTCCACTCTCTCTTCGTGTATCAACATCTATATTTAAGGAGGAGATTCTTTGAGCACATAAAAAATACTGATTCTACTGATTTATGGAGAACAGCTACAGGGCCACGTCCCAGATCAATGTTTTGTCAATTAAACTGAGCAAAATACAATTTTACAGCATGTTCTGACTATGCCTGTGAATACGGGTTGTTTGTAAATAAATGTGTTTCAAATAATAAACAAAGAAGTGTTTTTCTTTGCCAGGACCATAATTACTTAACGGAAATAACATACCCGTATTTGCCTGTAGACTGCTGTAAACAACTGTAGCTGCATTGAGTTCAGCAAAACTTACACTAACTTACATTAACTTACATTAGCTAGGGATTTGGCCATTTGTCTGTACTGCTTCCCTTAACTTCTGTTCCCTCTAAATGATGTTTAATGCTTTGCTTGTAAATTATGTTTAATGTACCTGCTTGTTGGCCTTAGCTTAGAAGACTGGATTTTTGGCATTAAGGGATTATGTCAGTACAGGTAAACTAAGGAGGGTCAGGGCATGTGTTTGAGCACTGGAAGATGACTCTGCTCTTTAATCGTTAACGTGCTCCCTGATGTGGTTTTAGCCAATGCCAACCATCAAACTGCTCGGCAATGCTTGGACATGGTTTAGGGGATAGGATGAAGCTAATAGGGACAGTTTCTAATAGTATAGATGAGGCTATTTTGCTCTGAGGGAAGAGGAGTTTAGGTGGATGGACGTGGTGTGCTGTGTGACTTTCTCCTACCCCAAGGAGTGGGCCTGGGTCCGTTTTACTTCCTTTGGAGCCATTGCAGATACTTCTCTGCTGCCATACCTTAGTGCTTTAGATCAGATGTCTGAAGGTGTTTGGTGCACCTTACAGGCTGCACAGAAGCACTCACGTGATTATTTGTTTCTCTGGACTTGATCCAAAAGGGATGTGGGCTTTGCATTGTTTAAGTTTTGGATACCTTGACAGTAGGAATCTAGCACTGTAAAGTGCCCAGGCTCCCTGTGCAGAGCAGGGGAGAATCGAGCACCTTGGAATGAGATTAAAGCCAGCTGGAACATGGGGAGAGAACCCTCTGGAGCTTGTCCATAAGGATGACCTGTCAGCTGCCAGGCTGGAGAGCATACTCCAGGCACATGGACGTGCAGTTGTATCCCAATGAATCTTGCACTTATTGCTGCACAGTGGCTTCACGAGGGAGGGGAACTGTCTATCTCACAACATTCTTGTCTCTGGCCAGAGTACTTTTAACTGGGCTCTGGATTTTGAAACTGTAAGGCAGGGGAAGAAATTTAATCTTCAGCTTCCACATCCCAATAATAGTTACAAAACTGCAGGAGAAGACTGAAGTGTGACTTTTGGGGGGAAGATTTTAACTGTGCTTTGAGAAGAAACTACAACCACCACTGCAGTTTATGTGGAACTCCATGATGTGTGCAGCATCAGATGTTATATGTATGCTCAAAATGTGTATTCGGTCCAGCACTGAGGGAGGTGGGTAGAACTGAGTCAAATGCTTGGATTTTGCTTGAACTTATGACAGAGGTGCCAAGGTACATAGTCCTGTCAAAAGTGAGCTGCTTCTTCTGGACGCATGCAGGAGTAAAATTGCAGGTTGCCTGGTCAAAACCAAGGGTCATCCAGTGTTCGGTGGGATAGGTCTTAGCTCTGGGCTTAGGCAATATTTAGGCATTCCAGGATTCAGGTTCTAAACCGTTTTGTTGGATCTAATTCACTGTATCTCAGTTTCCTGTTTGTAAATATAACCAATATTTTCTTATAGAGGTGTTGTGAGGGTATACACATTAGAAATTGTGAAACTTTGCAGGTGTCACAGATGGGTAGAATTATTTTAGGAGCTTGCCCTGAATAACCTGTGCAATCTGGTTAAATATGTTAAGAGCCATTGTTTTTGCAGCTCTTACGTTCACTACTCTCTTAAACAAACAGACTTATCTAGACTATTATCTTTTCCCCATATCCTCTTAGACCTCTGATTTTTTCTGTTTGTTTATGCACTTACTGCAAATTTTAGATCATGAGCTGTCTCAAAGAAGGACTGTAGGTAGGTTGATTGTTTGTGTGATGTCTGGTGGTCCTGATTTGGATCTGTATGAGATATTGCTGCTACTAAAAAAAGTCTAATTTATGCATGTCTGTACTGTATTAGGCTTTGAACTACTTAATGTTAATAAAAGGTTGGTTTTGTTTTTCTGATTTGTATAGCGATTCTACAAGAAAGCGGCTGCATTTGTGCTAAGAGCAGTTGGTAAACATTCTCCACAGCTAGCTCAAGCCATAGTTCATTGTGGAGCACTGGAAATGCTTGTGATTTGCTTGGAAGATTTCGACCCTGGAGTCAAAGAAGCTGCATCTTGGGCACTTGGGTATATTGCACGACACAATTCAGGTAACAGGTTTCACATGTGCTATCTTTCAGTTTAATGTTGTGTGTTATAATAATTTGCATTATTGTAAAGTTCATAAATAGGATAAGATCTTCTCTACTGCTATAAAATTTAAAATTTGGAATAAAAACCTATTCTAACTATAGCAATTCGACAATGATGTACCTTTTGTGGGAAACTGGCATGTCTGACACCAGCAGGGCCTGGTTATGAGAAGTGCTCTAAGAGGAGATACACTGGGCCTGTGGCCAGGAAACAGCACTCTGCTTTATTCTCCTTTATGAAGAAATTTCAGAATCTCTATGTATTGTGTAACTGTTGCTATGGAACAAAGTTTCTTTTGCTCGACGTTAGTTCTTATTTTATATACGTAGTAAAATGGAGAAGCCTAGGCAGTTTCATTCAGCTTACAGCAGTGCCCGCAGGATAAATATGCCAAATCCATTGCACTGACTGTATTACCATTAGCCAGTAGACCACACTCTTCTCCAAGAGTCAGGAATAGATCCTAGGAATCTGATATTGAGCAGTTCATGCTGTCTCACAAGCAGTTGTATAACTCGCAGTGTCATGTTCCTATTTAAAAGCTGATCCACGTGGTTGATAATTCTTTTAGTAGCTATTTATATAGTTCAAGTAAAAGTTTAGAGCTATGAATCAAAGAACTGAGGGAAGAAACTGCTGACTGGAATGGGTGGAAGAAATGGCTTCTGTTTGTATTGTTTAAAGTTAAAATTATTCTAGGATCACAATGTTAACTTATGCATTTATGTTTAGTTTTGGCTCTAAAATGTACATAGACAGAATTTGTGATTTTCTTCTTTCTTTTTTTTAATCAATATGGAGTTCTGGACTGCAGAAGGCATGGGGGCTTTCCCCTTCCCACTTAGAGAGAGTGTTAACGTACTGGGACAGAGTCCAAAGTTGTCAGCACCTTCCTAACAGGCTGCTTTTTCTGGGGAACAAATTCCTTCCTGGGGCACCTCTGTGTGCTAAAGATTTTTATCTTTTGGTCATCGGGTCTGAATCCCACCCTTGCTGGAAAATAATTGTTGCTTCCATCTGCAAGGTATTTGTTTAAGTGTCATTTGAAAGTGTTCCTTTGTATGAATATGTGTAGTGTAAGTGTGTGTCTGTGTTACTCTTAACATAAACATTTCTGTAGTTTTGTTATGTCACTAAATCAATATTGACTCACCTCAATTGCCCTTCATGCTATTCATTGCATGAATGCTGGCTGATCTTTAGGGTGATCCAGTTCACTCTCAGATGGCATTGTCTGCGAAGATGGAGATGATGTGAGGGTATTGAAGACAACAAACTCCTTGTACAAATTTTTATTCCACAATTATGAATGATTTATTCACTGACAATGAATGAGTACATATCTTGTATTGATTTATGCCAGCAATAAGAACAGCATTTTCAGAAATTAGGTTGAAATTGCAAGTTCTACCAGGCTGCAGGCATCAGGACATAGATCACTAGATGTAACTAGTTAATAAAAACCCCCACAAAATAAAACAAAACAACAAAAACCTTGACAAAAGTTGTTCTTCCCCTGCTCAGTTACAGCCAGTTTGGGGGATTTACCTTCCTCTATAACACAGTCACAGGAAGTCTCTAAAATGATTACTGAAAGTAGAGGAGTTATAAAGAAGAAAGATCACTCTGTGCACGGTCTGTTTCTTACACTCCTACAAGCATGCCTTTGCAACAGGATATTGTTGGAGATGGGATACAAAGATAGAGGGACCTGTTCTTATCAACATCTGGTGTTTGCTGTTCAAGAAACTCTGGATTACATTCACATGCTTGTGTTGATAAAATTTGGCAGTTATGATTTGCTGTCATTGACTGTATGTGGACACATATTGCAGCTTAAACTCTAAAAATAGAGTTGGGTATGAAATGGTTTTCCCCACCCACGAAAGGTTTTTCAGTTTCAAAAATTGTTTCGGTTCCAATCTGGGACAACATTAAGCAAGACTTTTTTTCTCTCCTGAAAAGACTGAGGGGTAGGGAGCCTTATTTGCCCCTGGCAAGAAAAGTTCAATAATTAGGGCATATGTCTGGGATGTATGTGGGAGACAGATTAAAGTCCTGATCTGTCTTAGGCAGGATGTGAACCTCTGTCTCCTTGAATACAAGCAAAAGCTCCCAGCCTTAGGCGATAACTGTTTGCAAAGGGAGAGTCTCCCTGCTTTTAATCAGAAATTCCATCCATGACCTGGTAAAGCTGCTCTCTAGGAACTGCAGTGTATGTTCCCATGAAAAGACTTCAATTTTGAGAAATTGAGACTTCTTTTTTTTCCTGGAGAACATGTTTTCTGGGTAGCAAGTTCCCTACTGTCTTCATACAACAATCTCTTAAAATGCAGTTCTGTGAACAGATGTTTCCAGAAGGCTTGTGAGATTTTAGGTCAAGACAGATGTCTCATGAGATGTCAAGACACTAGAAATCTTGCCAGGTCAGATTCCAAAATTTAGGAACAGCTCTTGCAGTTCTGCTCTTTCTTGAAGATGCCTTTGAGCTGAATTTCAGACACTGATCTTACTCCAAAGTATACTGATCGGTGTGCTGTAATTTTGCCATTCATTATTTCTACTGTATTATTTCTACTATTTGTGTTTGAAAAGTGTTTCAAATACCATCAAAATACCATCAAAACCATGAAAAGTATTTTGTAGGATTTTACTTATATCATATTCAGTTACCTTTAAAATGCAAAATTCTTATGTGTGAGATATGCAGATAACTTAGTTTCCCATTTGCTTTGCCTACGTAAAAGCTGTGATATGTTAATCGTCTCATACCTGCTTCAGCATATTGTAAATCGGTAGGAAAACAAAAATAAACAATGCTATTTATACTCAAGCATATTGCTGAGGATGGGGTTACATGCGGTGGTACTCTTAGGATCACAGGATAGCTCAGCTTGGAAGGGACCTCGGGAGGTCTCTAGTCCAGCTTCCTGCTCAAAGCAGAGTCAGCTACAAGGCTAGACCAGCTTGCTCAGCTCCTCAGTGATCTGAGTCAAGTAGTAACTTTGTCTTTTTCTGGGATCTAACCTTGCCCCATAATTAATGACCTGCATCCTTCTGATGAAAGCTTTTCCCACAGGTTCCAGTGGAATCGTTAGCGCTGTGGTTGTAGTGGTCTGCATAAACCTGTGCTTTTGAAGTGGACTGCTTGTGGGGATTAGAGTCTTCCTATGTGGCCATTACATGGTCACACAGTCCTTGAAAAAATACAGTATTGGTGGTTGTTTTGGTCAAAAGCTGTTATTTCCTGTGGATACACCTGCCGCCACAGCAGGGTCTATTTGAGAATCCTGGTCTGGACTGAAACTTGCATTTGCTTCCAAGCAAAGAAGGTTTTGCTGCTGCCTTCCACTATGTGAATACACATTTGTTCCCAGCTGATTTTTCCTTCTCTGGGGAGTACCTGCACATTCACATAACCTTCATCTTTTCTCCCTAATATATTTTTTTTCTTTACTTCATATTATTATTGCTAATATATTAATGTAGTGTGTAATTTTTTTGGTAAAACTTTAGGCCGCTTTAGATCAACGCTATAAAACTTCCCATTGATTTCAGTGGGTATGTAGTCAGGATCTTATTGACTTCGCTTCGTTCACTTTCCACTCTTTCTGATCAATAAATTCATGAATAGGCCTCAACTGATTTTGAATTAATTTCTTAGTCCCTGATGAGTACTTTTATATTGAGACAAATCAGTACAACTCTAATACAACTTCTAGATGAACTGGTGACATCTTAAACCCCAAAGTATTTCTTTATCAGTCTTTCTTATACCTCCGTGTCAGTCTGTGAGTCTGCAGTATCTCCCTCTGCTAAAATCTTCCTCATATTGTTCTGGACAAAAGCAACTAATTTATGGTGGATTTTGAGTCCAAGTTCTCTTGTTTCTGAGCATATGTAGAATAACATTTCCTACTTTCCCTCATGTAGAGAGAAGTCCTACTTTATCATCATGTAGTTGGACAGGTTCCTTGGTCCATGCCCCAACCTGAATTTCCAAGCCCAGGTTTTTCATAACTTTCTGTGGACTTAAATGGGGTTCATAAAGTAGTTTTTCTCTGATTTCTCCTCTTTAGCTATTGATTTTGTCTTTGCCCAGATAACACAGTCTTTGGCAGGGTGTTCAGAAAAGTCTGTAATTTGTTCCATCTTTTTTAATTTGTCTGAATATTTTTATTTGAAAATTTATTCTTGACAACTGTATTTTCTCCTTTAACTGTTTCTCAGCCTTCGTTTTTTTCACTTCTGTCTGTGTTTTGTAACTGAATAGCAAAATTTAATGAATTCTTTGCTGTGTAGTCTGAATTAAAGACATTCTACCAAGTGGGAAGGTTAATTGAGCCTCCTTTTGAGAAAAAAGAATTGCAATTATCATAGAGTCGTTAATACTTAGAATGATGATTTTGGGCTGAGTTTGCAGGGGAATGTGATGGGAAGATCTCTATTTCCTTTTGTCCCTGCTTCAGTGTTCCTGTTTTTCTGACAAATCTGTTTACTGTTTGACACATGGTCCAGCCCTCCATGTGGTAAGTTATTAGCCATGAACCTTATAAACACTACTGGAAGAACAACCATTTAATTAACCATGACCAATAGTAACCATCAGTATTTACATGATAGCAGACTTCTAACAGCAAGAGCTGATCTAAATTGAATCAGGTTTAGTTTGCTCTTTTAAAATAACTTCTATGGTTCCTTTTGCATGCCTGGGTGTAGCTGTGACCTTAAAGTATCGCTCTTTCTCTCCCTACTTGAACTTCATGATTTCAGCACATAAGGCATCAGAGAAACCCATTCTTCTAGTATTATCCTGTCCCTCTTGACATGATTTTCCTGATAGTAGCATCTCCTTGGCAGACTGTAGGCAATTGAGTTGGTTGCTCTGAAGTTTCTTCTGAGGAGAGTCAGAATGCATTAATCTGGACCTTTGGTCAGTAGTTCATGGACACTTGGTCATTGTACAGCATCGAAATACAATTTGAAGAAATGAAGTATGTTTTTTTTTCCCTGAAAAGCTGAATGTAGCTTATACCACTTAAATTGATTAGTGAGTTTTCAGGTTTGTTTTCAGATGCGTTTCAGGTACGTTTCATTTTCAATTTGTAAAACTGAAGATACAGCATTTGGGTTTTGTTGGAATCTTATGATTTGTGTGTATTTGGAAGGTGCACACTCTACATTTTCAGGCAAATAGTAATTTGAAAAGAGAGTCCTGAAGGGTTAATTTTGTATTAGTTTAAAAATTGCTGCATTATTTATTATAATTTTGTGACGTAATATTTATGCATTGTTTAAAATATTATATCATAAAATAACATACTGTGTAAATATTTGACTTATCACATTTATTGGAGTCTGTGTGGCTATAACTCACTAATTGAAAACAAATCTGGTCAGGAACATTATTTAGATATTAACAATGTAATGATGACATGACTTACAGATTTCATGAAAAACTATATTAGTCTATGTATATTTAATGAAGTATGCTATATTTTTCTTAGTATGAAAATCTCTTTATGGATGGACTATAAATCAAAAGCTAAGTTAGAGTCTTGAAATACAACAGCCATATGTTGCCATGGTACTGCAAGTCAAGATAAATGTTAAAGATAATAATGGATATGCATAATAAGGTGTAGCAAAACTGTACTAAGAACCTAATAGATTATTGAATCCCCCATGATTTTTACCACTTTTTCAATACTATTTAAAAATAGGACAGCATGGTTATAGTATAAATTTTGCTTGTGATGTTCAGTAATTCTTATTTTAGGACTGTGATTAATGCTGCTTACACAGAGAGAGCTAATGAATTTCTAATAGTGTAATTTCTGTCCATGTCAGCTAATCATATGCTCAGATTTTTTCTTTTCTTCTTTATTTAAGGTGCAGTTAGTTAAGGATATTGTACTAATCTCAGACACACAATATGCCACTGATGATATTTCTCATTTGTCTAATTGTGTATGATAACGTTTTCATGTCATTGAAGTATAAATTCTGTCTTGTCCCATGTATGGTAGCAAAGCCTAGTTTTGATCGGCAACTTCCATTTTTCCAATCTTTTATGTAAGATAAATCTTTTATGTATGTTTTTTGTGTTTCTGTTTTTGGCATTTGATCTATGCTAATATCTGCTTATCATTTAAAGAGGGTAAAATGCTCTCTAATTAGGTGGTTGGTAAAATTTTGGTACTTTGGCTTTCTGTGTTGTTGTTAGCCATGCATAAAATGCTTTCCTATTGATCAGTGTAGAATAGCCAGGGTTTAAACAGCTGACATCTGCTTACTTTAAAAAAAGAAAAAGAAAACAGAATAACAAACCATTTCAGCCTAATCTACCTCAAATGTGTGCATGTAAATGGGGGTCCATCTATTGACCTGCATTCTTTTCAGTTGTGGATTGGTCCACACGGTTTATGAAACCAGGAGGGCTGATTTGAAATGCAGATGTCGAGACAGTGAACTGCACCCTCCCCTTTTTCCTTTGCTGTATCTGTCAGGGTGAAAAATGGCTTGCACAAGGGTCAGTCACCCATACTCACTTAATTACTTTCCTTGGACCTACAGAACTGTCACAAGCTGTGGTGGATGCAGGAGCTGTTCCTCTTTTAGTGCTCTGTATCCAGGAGCCAGAAATTGCTTTGAAAAGGATTGCTGCTTCAACTCTCAGTGATATTTCAAAGCATTCTCCAGAGTTAGCACAGACAGTAGTGGATGCAGGAGCTATCGCTCACTTAGCTCAGATGATCCTGAACCCTGATGCTAAACTGAAGGTACATTTAAAAATTATTATTTTTTAATCTCCATAATACCAGTCATTACTTGATATTGACGCAAAGACGCTGATGTGCGTATTTATTTAGGAAGCTCTTGTTTTGGGCGTTAACAAAATGTAACTACATAGTTAGTGACAAAGAGTTCTGAGCATATTCACAGATTTAGCTACTGGATAAAAGCTACTGCTCTGTGAGGAGGCTAAACTAATCTTTAAAGTTAATAGGATGTGTTTTTTTAGAATTATATAGTATATGAAGAATGCAACAGATATTTTTAATAGATAAAATTTTCACAATTCAGTTACAAAAAAGGTTTTGCTTTTGCTTAATACTAAGATTATACTATAAACCAGTTAATATTAAAGGTATTATTGTATTTTAGAATGTACTATCTGATGTGAATAGCTGTTGTCGAAGGTTTCATCACTAGAGTTTAGTTGACAAAAAAAAATTTCTGACAGAAACAGAAGACAACATAAAAATGCCATTTCAAACACATACATAAAAATTCTTTACTATAAGGTCTGACATACCAAACTAATGCAAATAAAGATACTTTCTATAGATTTAATTAAATTTTAAATTATTGTTTTAAATGGTATTTTTTTTCTTTTTTAATACATAGCCAGCTTGATCGGGATAAAACAAAAGAGAAACTTTCATTCAGAAACCAGCGAATGTTCTGTGCCATTATATTCGTGCATGAATTGACTCAGTGAATTGTAAAATAGCTGTAATTGTTTTCCCTATCCGGCTTTGTTTTCCTTGATGCAATAGATTTTTGTGTGCAGGAGGAGTGTGTGTTGTGGGATGTTTGCATACTATTGATTTTATAACAATTTTTATTTACTAGCGTCAGGTGCTGTCAGCTCTAAGCCAAATAGCAAAGCATTCAGTGGATCTTGCAGAGTTGGTGGTTGAAGCAGAAATTTTCCCAGTTGTGCTCACATGCCTGAAGGACTCAGATGAATATGTCAAGAAAAATGGTGCAACTTTAATTAGAGAAATAGCAAAGCATACGCCTGAGGTAAAACCTTGAAAATGCAAATACAAGGTCATATCATTAGATTTTACACTTTAAATAAAATAGAGGATTATTCTGCCATTTGCTTTTCGAAAGGGAGGGCAAATAGCTCTTTGGCATGTTCATTGGAAAAATATGGAAATGCTTGCTGATATTATGAGATGTGTATTGAATATGAATTGTGTTAGGAAACTGGGAATCCTATAATGTATACCTATCTACTTCATTGCGTAAGATATCTGTGCAGAGAGGGAGTTTTAGGCTGGCAGTATTGTCAGTCCTAGATATTAAAAATACCATGAGAAAAGCCTCTCAGAAGTCATGATACCAGCTAATAAATGACAAGAACATCCTATAACAGTAATAGATGGTGTGTGTCTTTGTTAAAAATCTTCTGGGGTACTGGGATCTCATTTTAATTATTTTTCCAATGACAATGAAGGTGAAAAATTCTCTTACTTACTATTAAACTGATGGTACTTTATTAGCTTGAGTTTGTAATTTGAGTCTCAGCATTTGCAGTGTTTTTGACAGTAATTGATACAGGAAGGTGGGGATGTTTGGCAAACCCAGTACAAAAAAAAAAAAAGAAACCCAAATAATTTTAACTATGTTAATCTGTCAAACCATAGAGACAATTAAAAAGCTCCAAATATGATCTGGGATGAAAAACAAGCAATGTATTTGTGGAACACACTAATGCTTGAGCGCAGCCATTTCAAAATCATGATACTTGCTTAACAACTGAGAAGTGTTTAAACATGAACATAGTGCTGTTTCTTCAGCCTGATAGTCCTTAAGCTGCTGGTGATTGAAGGTTGAATTCTTGTCATATTTCCTGCTTTCCCTCTGCACCTCAAGAGCAATGTGACTTCACTTTCTCAAAAAAGTGAAGAAATTATCATTATCAGAGGCAGGCACTAGAGTTGGAAGCCAGAGGCCAAACTCACAAGACTGCAGGTAAAATCAGAAGAGCTGCTAGCATAGGATCATCCATGCAAGGGAAACTGGCCAGTCTAGCAGCTCTCCAAAGGAGCTGTAGGAACCATCTTGGTGACTCCCAGTGGGAAGTCACAATCCACGTTCAACTTCAGAGTGACAGTGAGCTCTGTCGTCTCTGAGCAACTCTATTGAAGCAACACATGTTGCAGCAGGGACAGACTGGCAAACAATATTTCTAGAGAAGCTGGCTGTGTCAGTCATGTGAGCATTGTGGCTTTTGGATCTCAGCTCTCGATCTGCATATGCAGTAAAATTCATGTGAAGGTCAGGATCTGGGGGACTTGCAGCGGGGCCAGAGGGTCACAGCACCAGGGAGTGTGTCTGTGCATCCAAGTGCACGTGGCTGTGCCCAGACGGACGACTTAGTCATCACTGGTGACAGTTCACAATGATGTGAACAGTTTTTTCTAAGTAACAGCTTTAAATTTCATCTAGCTGTTTCATGAATAAAATAATCCCCTTTTAAAGGCTCTGAGGCAAAGGTGGATTTCATGTTTATAGAAATCACCCGGATTGGCAATCCACATGCCTCAGTTTTGTTCATTTAATTTTCACTTTAAAGAGCATGTTTCTTTTGCTTTGGAATCTTCAGAAAAAATGGGATATATCTAACAAGATAGAAGAAAATAATCATAATATGAAATTATTTTAATTTCTATGCATTGTTGATGTCATGATGATGACATACTCTACTGTTGTCCCTCAAGTGATTTGGAAAGAAACATGTTGCATAGCTTGATTATAACTTATAAGCAAGGCTATATAATTTGGCATTCTGGGGCAAACTCCATTGCCCATCCAGCATGTTCCCAGTGGACACACTTCCTTCAGAGTACCTTAAAATGGCAGAATGGTGTAGTCGAAGTCAGTTTTGCACACCCATGACAGTTGTCTTTGGCTTCATGCCTCAGTGGGGGGGATCCACAAAGAGTTTTATGCCACAGAGGTTATCTAGAATGCAGGTGAGAGGAGTGGGCCTCTCCCTCTGTCCCTGCACAGAACATATGATGTTGGCCTGGGAATGAGTGGGCACTAGTATGAAAGAGTATCTGGCTCAGTAGGTGCATCTTCAAGGGAATTAATGTATTAGGCTGTCATTTGCACAATTCTTTGGTGTATACTAGTGGAGTTGAGAATATGTCAATCCATGCTGTACAGCGTCAAGAATTGAACGTCCTGATTTCCTTGCAGTAAAGTCAATCAAAAACAGAGTAGCAAACCAGCTTCATTTCCGAGAACTTCATGCTGCACTTGGTGCCCGGACAGTCTGTATGATGCATCACTTTTACTCCAGCTTTATTTTGGAAATCAGGAGCAATACATTTAAAGACTCTTCTAATGTAGTGCTTTATGCCTGTTGATACTTCAGAGTATCTAATCTCTTCCATTTATCTTTACAGCTTTCGCAGTTTATCGTAAACGCAGGTGGAGTTGCTGCTGTGATTGATTGTATTGGCAGCTGCAGAGGGACTGTCAGACTGCCTGGCATCATGATGCTTGGTTATGTAGCAGCTCATTCGGAGAATCTGTCAATGGCAGTGATTGTCTCCAAGGTTAGCTATCACTTTGTCATCTTCCTATAATTCCTCAGAATATTCTGAGAAAGAGACACAAATTAACATAGGCAGAGAATGTATTTTGTGACAGAATTATATATGTGTCAAATGTGCTTCCTCCTAATATTGCTGCTTGCTGTGGCTGAAATTATGTGGTAACCTGATCAAAGTGTATTTTTTATGAAGTTGAACCTTTTATAAAATGTCCTGGATTAGTTTGTGAACATCCATTCACAATTCCACACAACATTCCATTACAGTACATGATTTTTCTGTGTTGCAATTGCATGGGTACAGAAAATAAGTCAGTCAAAATTTCTATGGTCTGTTTCCTCTTAAAATGAATATTTGTGGCTACATCAAAACCCTTTTTGAAACAAGAATGTTTAATGGCATGTTCTTCGCTGCACTAGCATGACTCTGCTAGTACTGCTAGAACAGCCTTGCAACAGAAATCTTCAGACTTGAAAAGACCTCAGTTTCTAATTCAGTATGGTTGGATTCAATTTTGCAAGTGATATTTTGAATGAGATATACATTTTCAGGTTTAAATAAATTCTGCTGGGCAGTGATATAGAAGGGAGAGAATTTGCAATAATCGTAATAGGTGAAATTACTGCCTGACATAATATTCTAATGTGAATAATTCTAACTAATGACAGGAGGAAGGAAGTAATTTCACTGAGCATTGTTGCCCCATTTTTACACTATGTTAGTCATTTAAAATATACTGTATGAGTGGAAACAACGAAACAAAAACTGAGGCGCAGAAATGTCTTTCAGTAGGAATGCAAGTTAAAAAATGGAAATTGCTACAACATAACATCAATAAGTATGCAGGGAAGGTAGGAGTGATTAAAAAAATGCCTTTCTGCATTTGAAAACAGAAGAAACGGACACTTTTGGCTTGCCCTCTGCAGAGGCCCTTCTTCTCTGCATGAGTCCATGTCTCCACTTTCAGGGATGCCTAGAGCAAAGATGCTCCTGCTGTTGAGTGTTTGACGTTAAGTGGGATGAATCCAGGATTAAGTTCATGGGGAAGCATCTACATTTTTGAAGAGTAATAATGGTTGCTACCATAACTGAATGGGAGTGCAGTGAGAGACTTTGTAGGGATCTGTGCAAACTGTCATGAAATTAAATATTTTAATGAATGATCCACAAAAGAAACCTGAATAAACCCAAAATTAATTAAAAAAAATTTGCTTCAGGGGAAACTAAGCTTTGTGGAGTGGCACATAGTGCTGAGGGCATGGCTTGGTAAACTGGGACCATTTGAAAGAAATGCATTGTGGCATAACGACATGCAGTTACACATCTAAGATGTTATGATGTAAAGTTATAGCTCCATACTGTAGGACTGTGTCCTGGAGAGGATGAATTTTTAAAAATTACTTTTGGGGTCATACTAGACACTTCATTGTGGTCTTCTGCTGCAGTGCAGTGGCAAAAAAAAGACAATTCAGTCCTTTGTGGTATTAAAGAGTAAAAGATGAAGCATTATTGGAAAAGAGAAGTTAATCTGTCTGTAGTACTAGTGCATATAGTTCTGTTGTCTGTATTTGAAAAGGATCTTGAAAAAACCTGAAGAGGGTGTAGAAAAGACTAAAAAATGATCCATAGGATGGAAAAAAAAAGTCTTCTAGTTAGAGATTAACTCTAGTTAACTAGAGTTAGAGTTAACTAAAGTAGCATGAAACGATTCCTATTGAAGTATCCTGGCATAAAATACCAGCTACTGGATGGCTCCAAAATCCTGTGCAGAAAGGATAAAGATGTGAGTGATGTATTCTCCATCTCCTGATGTCTTCAAATCAAGAGTTGAAACCTTTCTGGAAGTGATTGGATGAGTCAAACATGAAGTACTGGACTCAAGAGGAATTGAAATTTAGTGCTGTACATAAAAAACCAAAACTTAATGATTGAGCCCTTCTGGTCTTCAGCTGCTTTCATAGATTCATAAGCACTCGAATTCTTTTATTTTCAGTCTGACAGAACGCAAGCCTCTACTCTTAGAACAGCCTGAATTGTGTCATGTATTCCTTTTATCCCTTAAATTTCTGTGTTAGCTCCAACTGCCTAATGACTTAGAATATTGAATCGTTTCTCTCTTTCTTTAACTAGATTTATTAAGATTAATTCAAAATTCTTGCTAGTCACGATGTTGTGTAAATACGACACCACTAGCATGCGTTCTCTTGTAGCTTATTTTAGAAGGAGAGTGTAAACAGAGATACATTTTCTAACAGTCTGTATCAGTTTCAAGTTGTCCATCCCTGGTGTAGATTTGTAAAGGTTGTGCTTTTGATTAATACTACAGGGAATACCACCACTGTGTGCCTGCTTGGTAGAAGAACATGAAGATCATATTAAGGCAGCAGCTGCTTGGGCCTTGGGACAGATTGGAAGACATACTCCGGGGCATGCACGTGCTGTTGCAGTAGCAAATGTGCTACCCACACTGCTTGCGATGTATATGGATACACACAGTTCAGAAGATCTTCAAATGAAAGCAAGTATATTTGTAGTACCCACCGTATGAGATATTTATTGTAATCAACAGGTGTAAGTGCTTAAAAACTACTAAATGGTAGGTGCTTTTATTGATGTTCATTGAGTCCCAGACTTCCTGGGTGGGAAGTGTCCAAAAGCTGTGTGTCATTTATTAGGATTGACTGGTCCTATTGGGTGTGCAAATGGTGCATATCAAATCATATGGTACAGCCACAGCAGACTAGTGGCTGTACCTCTCTTTCTTTTTCTTCTTTTCTTCCCTCTTTTTCTTCCCAGTTTAGATCAGAGCTGCATACACCCATAAATGCTATAACTTCTTGTGAGTGACTAATTATTAATTATATATATTTTTTTTGAAGTATAGGCTCTTGTACAAAATATGATAGTGCTTGTAGTAGACTTGTTTAATTTTTTTACTATTATAAATATAATATATATGATATAAATATATAATAAAACTGTAGCAAATACTGAAAGCTCTGCTCTTGAAAACATGCAAGTGTTCATGTTTAGGGCCTTCCTTGCATGGGAGCTAGTAGAGATGCTGTGTGGTAAACTGTATTTTTTGAGTGAGAGTAAGTGAACTGACTGAAGAGTATAATATGGCAGGATATGGTCCCCCATGTTGTACTATACCTCTGTACATTCCATTGGAACTTAACAAATTGCACATCTGTAAAATAACTTTTGTATAGTCGTTTTCAGTGCTCACCAAAATATCGAGGCCAAGTTAGCTGTACCTATAATCCTACCCAACAAGGTCATTTTTGCTTGTAGCAGCCAGCATTGAGGCTGTTTTCAGAAACTAAGCACTGAATGTACAACT